GCCTTTTCTCACAGCAGCTGGAATAATTACATTTATCATTTTGATGGCGGATTGTAATCCAGAAAGGATTATGTGTTTATGAAACACATGTGAATTAATTTAAATTATATTCCAGTTTTAAATGTGCTTCTGATTACAGATAGCCTGGGATTACACAAGATTTGTATTTTAAAGACAACCAGTTCGAAGGGAGCATAATTTGCTTTTTGGGTTAAAAGAATTTCTTAATATGAAATTCGACAGAAATTGAAATCTACTCGCTTATACACACTATACTCATAGTCACGCAATGCTGATGTTGTTAACATTAACAATTTGAGAATAAAGTATAACAATAATAATAATTTGCACGCTTTGATGTGATATGAGCTAATTTAGATTTAATCACCATTGGTAGCGCGATTTATTGTAATGCTTTTTTCCTCAGTTGGCCAGAACAAACGTGGCAGACTTGTTACTTACTTGTTCAGATGACAATATCCAGTGAAAATGCTTATTTGAGTCATATATTCCAAGACGTAGGCTAGAATCTGTGATTGTGAAGTACAGTAAATATCCACACCGGTGCGGTGACTGACTGCCACACATACTCTTCAGAACATTAGATTCATCCGTGGTGGAGCCGTGCCGACTCACAACCCACGCAAGCTAGATAATTCCGCACACTGCTGCAATTCCAGATTTTCAAACAGAGATGGCAACAGAGGCAAAACTTGTGGACTGCAGCTTTAAATGAGCTGATCAATTAATACTCCAAGCATGGTTTTTCTGATATTATTATGCCAGATAGTGTGGTGTCGTCTGCCGCTCGTCTGAGGAACCACACTCAGTCTTGAGTTTTAATGCCAGAAGATACATTTTATTTCATCATCAATGAAAATAAAACGGAGATGCTCTCTGCAGCGAAACATCTCCAGAATGTCTTTCTGTCTCTCTTTTTATACAGGTTGGATTTTAAGGCGTGGGGTATATATCCCATACAGTTGTCCATACATAGAATGGTTCCTTTGTGCATACAATTCTCCCTAGAGAGAAGGCCCCCCCAAGTCTTGTTATGGTGAAGAAAGAAAGCCCCCACCTATGTTTTTCCAGATGTTTCTAATCTTAGGGCCTGTACATTCTGCCACGTAGGCATGTTTTTACACACAGGCATATGGGATTATAATGGAAGTATAACTGGATATTTAAATGGCTATATTCATAATGATTATACTTGATTAATTCCTATTTGGATTAATAAAAATCTTCTACAATAGTTTTGTACCTGGTTGGCTGCTGGTACGTCTTTAGTGATGCTGCAGGGTCCGAGTGTGAGCACTGGAAGATCCTGACCCTCGACTATACGAGATTCTAGACAGTTCTGTCTCTGCCGGATCACACCAGACTTAGCATCGGAATCATCAGGAACTCTAGATTCGGTGAATGAAACACCACAGTGTTATGATAATAAATACCCCACACACAAAAGAGAGAGGGGAAAAAATACAAATTACGTCCTTAAATATCTCAATAGTTTCAACTAGGAAGTGCAAATGATAAAAAATTGCTTAAGTCTACTGACTTTTAATTGCAGACTTTGGCAAATCTGAGCACAGTTTGGGACAATATTTCTCATCAAATACTTCCAAAACCAATATATAATGGTATATGTGATCATGTTCATTTTATTTCTCTATACTCGATTTCAACTCTCATTGGTGTCTATTTTTATTAAATGAAGCATAAAAAGGCAGCATAAAAAA